TCTTGAAGTGGGGAGCCCAGCACTGGACACAGCACTGCAGATGGGGCCTCACTAGGGCAGAGTAGAGGGGGAGGAGAACCTCCCTCGGTCCTGCTCCCCACACTCCTCCTCATGCACCCCAGGATCCCATTGGCCTTCTTGGCACCCAGGGCACGCTGCTGGCTCATGGTCACCCTGTCGTCCCCCAGCACTCCCAGTCCCTCTCCGCAGAGCTGCTCTCCAGCAGCTCAGCCCCAGCCTGTACTGGTGCCTGGGGTTGTTCCTCCCCAGGTGCAGGACCCTGCCCTTGCCCTTGTTGAACCTCATCAGGTTCCTCTCTGCCCAACTCTCCAGCCTGTCCAGGTCTCGCTGGATGGCAGCACAGCCTGCTGGGGTGTCCACCACACCTCCCAGTTTGGTGTCATCAGCAAACTTGCTGAGGGTGCACTTTCCTCCAGTGTTTCAAGTTAACTTGCGTCTCAAGTGCAAGTTCAAATGTATTAATAATTCTAAGTATTAAAAGCATTTAGCAAACGCTTATGGTATGAGAAAATGAGAAAAGGGGCTTTTCAAATAGCCCGCTTCCAACCAGGTAAAACTGAGACTTTCACAATTACGTATGAGAACATTTGATGTCCACCTTTCTCCTCACCACAGAATCTTCTCAGCTCCTTGGATATTTCTGAAAAAATACAAAGTCTAGGAATATCTAAGAGAACTGTAATCTCACTAAGGTATGTACAAATTCCTGGAAAAGACTTTCTGTGATTTTTTAATATATTCTATATTTAAATACTTCAGTTTAAACTAACCCAGAACATTACGGAAAAAGTAAAACCAGTTTGTAAATCAGAGAAAATCATCTGAAGATCTCTACTGAGAAACCCCTTCTCATGGTTATTTGCACTCCACATCGTGCCTCCAGATGTGGCCAAGGCACTGCGGTCCAGGACCACGTCTTAAGTCCTAAATACCTTGACCAGGAGGAGGGATGTGGTCCGCAACCCCGGTACCACACCCAGAAATCACCTCCATTCAACCTCTGAATAAGTAAAGAAAGGTAAAAATGAGTGCAAGTCCACTGGAAAAGCAAACGAATGGGGACAAGTGATTCAGGCGACGTGCTGCAACTGCTTCTCTGAAACAAAAAATACAAAATATCACAAGCCAGTTGTTTTCTTGGGAAAAAAAATTGAGTATTAGGTATGTACTTGCATCTTGCATACCGGTACGCATCGGAGGCTCCCAGCCGGGCTCGGGGACCACCCGGCAGCAAAGCTGCCCCGAGGCTGCGGGGCCCGTCCCAGGCGGTGGAGCAGGGCTCAGCCCCACCAGGCTGAGGGTCCGACACCAACACCCCCCCCACCAGCACCAATCCTGTCAGCAAAGCGGGGGCTGCAAGCTGAAGTCAGTATGTCCGCAGAGGAGTCGCTAACAAAAACGTCCTCATCAGTAAACAGCAAGGGCTGCGTTTTCTATGGAGAACAGGCAGCAAAGCCTTGTCTCGGAGATGCTTTATATAAAAAAAAAATTAAAAACAGTGGATTTCTTCTTTATGAGCTCCATCTAATGGTTGATTTTGTTTTTACACAGCTACTTAGAAATTTTCCATCGTGGATCTCTTGTACTAAACTTAAAAAGACGGCGTGTTTCCAACGTTAAAAGCAAAGCAGAGCATGTTTGGCTGAAAGAAACGGAGCTTTTTGTGCAGAAAGGTAAAACCAGTTATTTCTATGAAATGTTGGAAATACTTTTTAAAATACTGTACATCTTTAAAATACTTTTCTAGCGTTGCAGTATTTTTCTAGCTTCGCAGCCACGGAAATACACCAATATGAATTCGGTGTCGTGAAGCCGAGACTAACGGAGCCGGGCAGCCGGCGTCAAAGCTGTGCTCAGCGCGGAAATCCAGCAGCCTGCGCCCAGAATACTCAGAGGAAAGCAACTGGCAGGATCTCTTTTTCTTTTGACCGGGAAGGACTGCTCTCTGTGCTCCTGGGAGAGAAGGAGCCCTTTGCGAGGGGCCTTGCCGTGGGCCCTCTGCACGGCATCGAACGGTGACCGACGCCGGGGGAAGGCGAGAG